TATGTGGGATCCGAACCCTCGGGCGGGAGCGCCGCCGCGCTTCCCAAGCGGCGCACTATCCAGTGCACCACCGGGCCGGCCCATTATTTCTTCTATTCTTTGTCTCTTTTTTTCTGGGAGATTTCAGCATTTTTTCCTTCCAATACTCCTATTTTTCATTTCTGCCAAGATTTTTTTTCCCCATCTTTAAGAAAAATTTCCAAAAGCCCTTTTCTGTTTCTAAATGTTTATTTTATATCTTGTTCTTATATGGCTACATTACCTTCTCTTACCTCTTTTCTTCCTACATAATCTCCTTTTCATCCACCTGGCTTATGGGGTAGGGAGGGTTGATATCTTTCATGTTAGGGACTTTCCTCAAATAGTAAGTGATTCTTAACTCTCTGCTCTTATTTAAAGGTAAAACTTACTGACTGTGGTCTTCATTGCAGGATGATCTGCTTGGGCCATTTCTTTGGGAAACTCCCGGTGTCAGTAGTTTTAGGTCTTTTTGTTGGACTGGTGTGAGTACCAAGAGGAGAGTATTCAAGTCTCATGCATAGATGGTATGCATCTGGCTCCCGATTTGGGGAGAGTCAAATGAAGAAGAAAACTAGTACTAGGGTACTTCAAAAGTGGAAAAATTGAATGAAAAGATGATACGAATCTTTCCATGAACTTTTTGAAGACCCCTTGTATTCTCAACTTTCTATATGTAGACTTCAACCCCCCCCCCCTTTTTTTTTTGACCGGTAAGGGGATTGCAACCCTCTGCACGGTGTTGTCTGCACCATGCTCAGCCAGTGAGCACGCTGGCCATCCCTATATAGGATCTGAACCCGCGGCCTCGGTGCTACCAGCGCCGCAGTCTCCTGAGTGAGCCATGGGGCCGGCCCAATCCCCATTTTTAATATACCCTTTTTCTCAATTGGTCCTGGAGTCCCCCAAGTCAAAAATTCTCTACAGGATGGTACAGAACAACTGAACTTAGTGAGAGTGGCAGAGACTCTGGGAGGGTTTAAGTGTCTTGAAAAGATTTTCACCCAGTCCTTCTGTTTTTAGCCCAGCATACATCCCCATTTCCAGAGGTATCTGGTGCTGCCAGTTCTGAAGTGTCTTGGGGATATGGATGGAAATAGCTTTGTTTCTTGGCATTCCCCGCGGCTTGCTTAGGATATGACTTTCTCACATCGGATGGTTCAGTTACCACTCAGCCATCTGCTTTGCAGCGTCCAGAATGTATTGCTATTTTTTCTCTTCTCCCATTCTTTTTGTCTTTGTGACTTATTGCTTTAAATTTTTTTTTCAGTAGTTTTGTTGGGTTATTGGGAGAGAATGAAATATGTGTTGCAAACCCATCATCTTTAATTAAAAGTCAGACTGTGTACTTTTAATAGCTCTCTAGTGATTCTCATAAGCTTATGATATATATTTTTGAAGACTGGGAAGGTGGGGAGTATTAAAAGAAAGAGAATCTGTGCTTGAGACACAAACTTTGATAGGCTTGCTCAATTTTTTGATGACATCCTATAAAACAAGGCTATGTCATTCTCAGTAGTTCAAAATATCATATAATATAAAAAGAAAAAAGTTGGCTTAGTTTCTTATTCAGTTTTCCTGTCATATTTTCTAGCTTAAAAAGTGAGAACTCTCACTAAATGGGAAATTTTCCAAGTCATCAAAGCTATTTATAGGGCCAACATAACAACATTTCATTTTTCTCCTCCCATTTCTGGGTCAGAAGTTAATAAGAAAATACAATTTTCACATGGTGGTAAGAGGTGCCAGAGTGTATTTCTTTCTTCAACTTTTTGCTTGTAAAATACTTCTTAGTTGATATAATTTTTTTTACTTAGATTTTTTTTTTTTTTTTTTTCCCTTTTTGTCTTTTTTCGTGACCGGCAACGGATCGCAACCCTCAGTGTCGCGCCCGTACCAGACCGGGGCCGGCAACGGGATCGCAACCCTTAGCGCTGCGCCTGCACCTCGCTCAGCCAGTGAGCGGCCGTTCTGTATGTGGGATCCGAACCCTCGGCAGGAGCGCCACCGCGCTTCCCAAGCGGCACACTGTAGCAGTGCGCCACCGGGCCGGCCCTTACTTAGATGTTTTTATTGTTAACCATTTTCCTCAATTGTCCCCTTCCTTCAAAATTAGCAATATTTCTTCTAGGTTGTCCTAATAATAGTTATTAGGGATAGACATAATATGTTTGCTTCTGTTAAAATATTCTAAATGATTAGAAGTATTTTATTACAGTTAGATAAAATAATCTAAATTTTACCTGTTTATATCCGTAGACATTCCTGAATATGTTTGTTGACAGCAATCAGGATGCCCGAAGAAGGTCTGTAAATGAGGATGATAATCCCCCTTCTCCAATAGGAGGAGATATGATGGATTCTTTAATATCACAACTCCAGCCACCATCCCAGCAACAGGTAATGTCTAGCTGAAATTTCAAACAGTATCGCATTTGTGTAACTTCACAGGTTCTACAGGTGTCAGGGCTTCTTTGTTGAAAGGCGAGGAGATCCTTGGTGGGCCCAAGATGCCCAGGAAATCCTTATGAAAAAATAGTTACAGAGGGAGATGAGGAAGAGGCTTCCAGTGATGGGAATTGAGTAGTGCTGGAAATAGCATTAACCTCAGACACTCAGATCACCCATGTACTTAAAATGATATTATGTCATTCCAGGGGTGGAAACATCATCTCCAGGATTTGAGAACTTTGGGAGAGTGTCCTCACCATGTCTTGAAAGACATACAGATGTTATTAAAGTAGAGCACAGTGAACTATATATCTAGTGATATTTAACAGGGACTCCTGCAGAGAACGGGTGTACAAATTTCAAGAATTCTGTCCTTAGACCATTTGGATAAGCCACATTATAGATCTTAAGTGCTTTCAGTTCTGTCCTGTCATCTTCACATGTCCGAGAGTTGGGCAGGCCCCTAGGCCAACTTTTCTCCTTTCATTGCCCCTTCTGAAATAGAGAGGGACTGGTGATCCTTTACCCTTTCAACAGTCCCATGTGTCTCCCTATCTTGGAAAGTACTTGTTGTGGCTGTGGAAAGGCTTCCTGTCTCTGGGCTGGAGTCTTCAGTGGCTCTATTTTTAGGTGCGTGTGAACACATAACCTGTAGGCAAGGCTCTTTGGCTCATTCTTTAGATTTGGCCTATAAAATAGCTCACTGCCTCTCACCCAGAAGCTTTCATGAAATAGCATTGCTTGGAACCAGCATTGTGCAAAGAATCTACTTAGCTTTTTTTATTGCCTACCTTCTGGTCTGGCTACGTAGTAACTGCAACTTTTCAGTGTGTATTTACATCTTTGACAAAGTACTGGCTCTTACCTGTAGGAGGGTTTCATGGAAGGTATATTGTTCCTGGCAGCTCTTTAGAGTTTCTTGTCTCCTCACTATTTATTTCCCTTCTTGACCTTCACGGAGATGCAGGGAAGCACAGTAGAACCCCATGTGAATACCTGTATATAGCCGTGGTGTGGGGCTCTTGTGACAGACATTGACTCAAATGAGGTACTAGCCCTCTGAGGATGCTCGGTCACTATCGGGGAGAAATGCCTTCGCCCAGTAGATGCCAGAGCAGCCTTTTATCTTGTGGAAGCCATTTGCATTATAGGTCTTTCCTGTTACCTGATATGGAGCATGGTCGTCTTTTGGGGGAAAGAAGTGACTGAGATAGTTGGCTGGTGACCACAGCTAAAGCAGAGCTAGTGTTATAGGCGGAATGGAGGGGGAATGTGGCCCATTGTTCTCTCCCCTCCCCCAAATAAGTCATTTATTGATACCTTTACAATGATTATTGTCACTGAAAAACAATCTGACACAGTGAGAGCCTACAGTCCTAGTTTATTAGATATTTTGACTTTGCTAAGAGCTCTGTGTACCAGTGTAGCATTTCATACTGAACGTGAGATTTTTAACTAGGAAAGTAGTTACAGGTTAAGGCAGAAGGATTAGAAGCGGGTAGGATGGGAGAAATGTTAGGATATTCTAGAAAAGTTAGACTGATTTGTCACTTTGTGAGAACTTTAGGAATTTTCTGCTTTTTCTTGCTCTATATTCAACTTATTAAGTAGAGCTTTTTTGTTTGATTTTAAATTAAAGAGTTTGATATTTAATACCAGTCATGATTTTTTATTTTATTTATTTATTTATTTTTTATAAGATGACTGGTAAGGGGAACTTAACCCTTGACTTGGTGTTGTCAGCACCACGCTCACCCAGTGAGCTAACCGGCCATCCCTATATGGGATCCAAACCCGTGGCCTTGGTGTTATCAGCACCATACTCTCCCGAGTGAGCCACAGGCCAGCCCCCAGTCATGATTTTTTAAAAAGATGCATATGCGGTGGCTACATTATTAGTCAGTGGCTTTGGGTTTAGGTACTCTTAAGGAGTGAGCATTTTATTGAACAATTTCAGTTTCATTTCTTTTCTGTTTACCAGGTATCTATAGTATACTTTTATTTGTGAACTGTTAATATCCTTGGTGAGACGGTTGTGAGGGAAAAATGTTCATAAAGAGTTTCATGTAGATATTACTTGATGTTAGCAGGTAGCTTTTCTTTTATATAAAATATACAATTTTAGTCTGTAAGCTAGTCCATGAGAAAGGAAAGGAGGAAAATATAAAAGTTTAAGAATATCATAGTTTTCATTATATAGTAGTGTGGCTTAAGTCTCCAAGAAAAAAAGATACATTCTACATTATTAGATTAAACAGTACAATTGAATATATGATTTTGTAGCTTGTAAGTTAGCCCGAATTCTGTAATTTCTTTAAAATAGTATAGGAAGAATCAATTTTTTAAAAAAATAGCCCAGTTTTAAAAATGGATAAAAGATTCAAGGCATTTCACAAAACAGGATGTCCAAATGACCAGCTAGCACAGAAAAGATGTTCAAACATCATATGGTATTATAGAAATACAAATTAAAACCACAGTGATACAACACTCCACGTGCACAAGAAATGGAATCAAGAAAAAAAATAATTCTTGCCAACATTTGGTATTAGAAGTAACTGAAACTCTCATTTACTGCTAGAAGGTGTGTAAAATTGTATAACTACATTGCAGTAGTGTTTAGCAGTATTCCAGAGTGCTAAAACTGAACCTTATGTATTCCTGTGACTTAACAATTCTACTCTTAGGTATACATGCAACAGAAATGCAGGAAAAAACACAAGAATATTTGTAACAACATTATTTATCCCAAAAATTGAAAACGACCCAAATATCCAGCAAGAGTAGAATGAATGAATAAATTGGGATATATTCATACTGTGGAATCCTTTTTGGGAACGAAGAAGCAAACTACTGCTACATGCAGCACTGTGGATGAATTTCACGGAGATAATGTTGAACAAAAGAAGCCAGACACTGTAAAGCATACATTCAGTATTTATATGAAATGCAAAAACAGGCAAAACTAAACTTGAGTGATGGAAATCAGAATAGTGCTTAGCTTTGGGGAGGCGATAAAAACTTGGAAGGTGTATAAAGGAGGCCTTTGGGGTACTGGTAATGTTCTTCAGTATCTTGATCTCTGTGGTAGTTACATTTTTAAAACTTTATAAAACTGTATATTTAAAATTTCTGCACTTTATGTGATTCATACCTCAATTTTTAAAAATAGACTAGGAAAGTAATTAGATTGTCCTTGGTTTTCCATCGCTAGAGATGAAGATAAATATGAGTAGAGGTCAGGTTGAATTAACATATTTCATTGACTCTGAACTCCACCAAAAGTAAGACGCACTATTTTTTAATTGCTGCTAAGAAAGAAAAAACTGCCAGTTAAACTAACATGCCTTGAATTGAAAGACACACCCTGATTTCAGAGATGTTAAACTGAGGGGGGAATGTCTTAGAATTAATGAAGTGGTAGGTAAATATATACATAAAACAGTGATATGGTAGATAAAACGAGCAAAAAACGGAATGAGGGTGTTTTTAAAACATTTCGAAAATCAACGTTTTTAGATGTGTTATAAATATGTATTTTACGCATTTTCATACGTCACGTTTCCTATTTGGTAACCAATGAAGTGTGTAAATGTTAACACTGCAGCTATAATTAGGAAAAGTCACACTGTCTTAGACTACCTGCAGTTGGCCATTTTACCAACATTCAGTTTTCTTCTTTTCAGCCATTTCCAAAGCAGCCAGGAACATCAGGCGCTTATCCTCTTACTTCACCCCCTACATCTTATCACAGCACAGTTAATCAGTCTCCCTCTATGATGCACACACAGTCTCCAGGTAAGATATTACTTATTTTCTTGTCATGTTCAGCTTTCAGATCCAAAATACACACACACACACACACACACACACACACACACACACACGCACGCACGCACGCACGCACGCACATTGAGAAGCACTGTGCATCTTGCCTCAGGCTTCCGAGTGAATTCCCTTTCTAGTCTGTGGCTAGTTGCCATTCGTTCATTATGGCAGGGTTTTGAAATTTGTGTTCATGGTTCAGGAGCACTTTAAAAGGTTTGTATTAAGTGCAGGTGTTGTCATCCAGAGCCAGATTCATGGAACATCTCCAGGGGGTGCTAATCACAACATGATGTATGTCAGAGGTCAACAAACTAAGGCCTATGGGCCAAATCCTGCCCACCATCTGTTTTTATAAATAAAGTTTCACTGGAACACAGCCAGGCCCATTTATGTAGTGTCTGTGCTGCTTTCCTGCTATGACAATCGCTTACAGAAAAAGTTTGCCAACCCTGGTGTATGTGAAGGGTGGCTTGCCTTCTACCCCCACAGTTGGGCAGTGCACAGCTTTCTTGTTCAGACAAAATGGCTTTGTTGGCAGCCCCATGAAGTGCGCTGTAGAAGTGTTTGAGAATGCCAATTTTTTACTTTTACCTGAATGATACCAGTGGTATCTCTTGAGCACTTGCTCCGTGCCAGGTGCTGCCTGGTGTTAGGAATTCAGCAGTGAGCCAGAAACTAGCCCTGCTCTTAAGCTTATCATCTAGCAAAAAAGACAGGTATCACATTTCTTGGGGAGATGACCCGTTGCCTGTCAGGTCCCATACTTAATCTGTCCCATACATAAATAATCATTAATTATTTTTCCAGAGCATAATGATGTTTAAAAAAAAAAAGTTTTAGCATAAAAGATGTGATATGTAATGTAGGATGTAAAATATAAGAAATTAAATAATTTTTTAAAAGTATATGTGTAGTAAAAACCTTTTATTTAACATAAATATATTAGACCAATCAACTAAAGAATGCATTAAATAGTTTTGTACCAATCGAAGGCATTCCGGCTTACCAGGAAACAGAACAAACATAAAACTACATAAAACCCTGATTTTTAGTGACATACCCAACAAATACACTTGCTTTTAAGTTTTCACATTGAAAAGCAGAATTTATGGTGCATAGTTTTTCCCTTTATAAAATACCCAAAAAATCCTTACATATTTGTATAAAAATTTGTATTGACCAGCAGAATTTGTTAATCTGCAGATGGGAGATGTAGGGACATCACTTGTTAACCAGGTGATTCCATTTGTAAAATGGGAATAATATAAAACCTTTTGCTTAGAGATGTTGTGAAAATTGAATGAAATAACGTAAAGTATTTAGTTTGGTGACTGGCACACAACAAATGCCTCTTTGACCAGTCCATGATAATCTGCCTTGTTGCCCACATTGGGCTGCTCATCTAGCACTGCCTAACTCGTATCCTGGCAGATCCCACCCCAACTCTGTCTCACACTTAGCCACCATAGCCACTCAGATTGCTCTCCAAATTACTGTATTAGCCTGGTTTTTTGAAAAATAGATCCTCATTTTTTTTTTTTTTTTTTATTTATTTATTTATTTATTTATTTTTTGTCTTTTTCCGTGTCCGGCAACGGATCGCAACACTCAGTGTTGCCCCCGTACCGGACCGGGGACCGGCAACGGGATCGCAACCCTCGGTGTTGCTCCTGCGCCTCGCTCAGCCAGTGAGCAGGAACCGGTCTGTATGTGGGATCCGAACCCTCGGGCTGGAGTGCCGCCGCGCTTCCCAAGCGGCGCACTGTAGCAGTGCGCCACCGGGCCGGCCCAAAATAGATCCTCATTTAAAAAATCTTTAAATTCCCTTTTTTTTGGTGGTGGGGGGGGAGGTGCTTCCTCTGTTTAAATGCCTAGGTAAACAGTTTTCATCTGTAATGCCAAGTGTGATGAATGCTACAAAAGGGGTCACTCGGGCTTCTGGAAGAGCATTTGGCAAGGAGGTTTGGCTTTTTTCCCCCTGGAGATCCCTTGCCTGCCTCTCTCCCCCCAATGATGGTTAAGCTGAGACTTGAAGGATGGGTTGGAGTTAGCCAGGTGTAGGGTCATGGAAAAGGAGGGTATTTCAGGCAGTGTAGGGTATGTGGAGCCTGAAGTCTCAGAGGATGGATGGTAGACTGTCCCAAATAGCTGGAGCCTGGAGAGATGCAGCTTGGTTAGAGATTTTGGCCTTTATTGTGTAGGTAATGGGAAGCCATTGTTGGATTTTAGTAGGGGCTGGTCGGGGTTAGGTTACATAACTGAGAGGGGCAAGAGTGGTGGAGGGGCAGATTTTACATAAAGGAGGGGAGTTCTCTTGAACCTGTTGGTATTGCAAGTCCCTGGAGACATCTAAGTCAAGACGTCCAGTAGGCAGGTGGCTATATTAAAGCCTATGGCTCATCACAGATGGTTTGGACCACAGATGAAGATTTGGAGTTTGTTATGTCATGTCTAGGGTCATTGAAGCCCAAGTAGGTGGATAAGCTCAGCTCCTAGGAGCACCAGTGGTTAGTGGCAAAGGAGCAGCTAGGGAAGAAGTAGGCAAATAGAAAGTTTCTAGGATATGATTTGAAATTGTTTTTGCATACTAGGAAGGGAAAATAATTATTTTGAAATAAGTATAGTAGCAGACAGATAAATAGGGTTTACTGTGTGCCAAGCCCTATTTTAAGCATTTAATCCTCACAGCAGACCTCTGGCACAGGTCCTATTATTATCCCTATTTTACAGAGGAGAACTAGGGCATGGAGAAGTTGTCACTTGTCTAGATCATACAACTAAATAAGTAAATATAACACTTTTTTAATCAAGTTGATCAACATATTTATTAAATATAAGGCATTACTTTAGGTATTACAGAACATAAAAATATGAAATTATCTTACATAATAGAGAATTTGAAACCTGCTGATATTGAAGATAGTTATGGTAATATAGCAAGTATTTTAATGTTGTATTTATTCATAGTTTTGGTAGCCATAGTTCCCCATTTCATAATCCTAAATTAAAACTAGTCCTGTGGCTTTAAATACCATCTTTAAATTCATGTCTTCCAGTTTTTTATATCTCCAACCTAAGCCTCTCCCTTGAACTCTAGTCCTGCATTTTCTAGCTATCTATTCATCATTCCACATAATAACTAGTATATAGATCAAACTCAGCGTGACCGAAACTAAACTCCTGATCCCCCTCACCCCCTGGTGTTGCTTTCTGCCACAGACACACCAGCCCAGTAAATGGCAGCTCCTTCCTTCCTGCTACTTTGGGCCAAAGCTGTTAGAATCATGCTGAACTTTCTTTCACATCCACATTCAGTCACTTACCAAATACTGTCAGCTCTATTTTTAGAATTTACCCAGAATCGAACCACTTTTCACTGCCTCAACCTTCTGTCACCCTTGCCCAAGCCACTAGTCCTCTCTCACCTGGATTATTGTAGTGGCCTCTAACTGGGTCCCCTGTCCCTACCCCTTCCTTTGCTCTGTAGTCTGTTTTTTATCAAAGTAGCTAGAGTGATCCTTCTAGAACAAAAGTTAGTTCATGACTCCTGCTCCAAACTCTGCATTGGCTTTCCACTTATTCATGGTAAACCCTAAGTCCTTAGGGTGACCTGCCCCCACACCTCACCCCCCATCATCTCTGACCTCATCTTTTCCCCCTACCCGCCTTGCTCACTCTATTCCAGCCACACCAGCCTTCTCCCTGTTATTTATAACCACTTCCACCTTTGGGGCCTTTGCACTAGCTCCACTGTTTGCCTGGAATATCTCATCCCCTGGGGATCCTCATGCCTTATCCTTTACTTTCTTTGAGTCTCAATTCACACGTCCCGTTCTTAGACAGGTCTTCTCTGCTTTATATAAAGAACAGTACCCACTGCCACTGCTACACAATATTGCCCTATTACTTTGCTCTGTTTTTCCCCATCACTGCTTGACAATGTCTTTCTCATTCTACTAGAATATAAGCTCCATGAGGGCAAGAATTTTTGTCTTTTTTGTTAACTGCTGCACCCTCAATGCCTAGAACAGTGTTTGGCGTGAAGTTGGTATTCATGCCTACTTGTTGAATGAGTGAAAAGGACACTGGATTTTGTTTTTTAAATCAGTCAATATAGGAGCTAGAATTTGGGCCCATGGAATTAAACTTTTTTTATCAATAATGAAGTCTTTTCAGTTTTTCTTTGCACAATTTATGGGAACTTTACTACTTGTTTCTTTAGTCTGTAGGGAGATTTTTAACTTGGGGTCTGTGGACAGGACATAATATATGTCCTGCAAGATCATCTGTAATTATTTTCCTTTATTAGGAAATCTGCATGCTGCCAGCTCCCCCAGTGGGGCTTTGAGAGCCCCATCACCAGCGTCATTTGTTCCAACTCCTCCCCCATCCTCGCATGGAATCTCAATAGGACCAGGGGCCAGTTTTGCTAGTCCACATGGTGAGTCCATACATGGAAATTGCTATAGCATAAGAGTTTGACATGAAAGTAGTTTTTGTTAAGTAAATTTTCTTATTGCAAAATTAGCACTTGTTTGTTGAGGAAATAGCAAAAGTATTGTGCAAGCAAAAAGAAAATAAATTTGGCCTAATCCCACCATGCAGAGATAATGACTAGTCAATCTGTATCTGCTTTGGACTCTTTCTCTGTCTTCCTTTCTCTCCCTTGCCCTGCCTTGCCCTTCCTGTCACCCACTTCCTGCTTGCCTGCCCTCTTGCATCTCTGTTGTTCTCGACTTGTCTGCTTTGTCTCCCCCTTCAAACACCCCAGGCCCCCCTCTAAAATGAGTGCCCTACCATATGAATTGTTTTGAGTCTTGAATTTTTTAACTGAAAAATTTTATTTTGAATTGATTCAAATAGATAAAGAATAAAAGGTAGTCAGTGAAATGTTTCCTTTCTATCCCACCAACCACCTAGTCCCTCTTCCTAGAGACATTTAGTGTTATTAATTTCTTATATATTCTTGCAGAGCTGTTTTGTGCATATACAAGCAAATACGTATAATTGTTCTTTCCCCCTCTTTTACACACATGGCAGCATACTGTACACGGTGTTCAGTACCTTTTTTCACCTAATGTATCATTAATACCATGCCATATGGGAACATAAAGAGCTTCTTCAATTTTTAAGCTGTGTAGCATCTGTGGTTTTACTTTTTGCTATTAATATTTGTGAGAACATTTCTATCAGTAAAAACTAAATCATCATATTAAATGGCGTTGTAGTATTCATACCTTGTCTGGGCATACCATAATTTAACTGCTCTCCTATTATTATATGTTTAGAATGTTTCCATTTTTCATAGTTAAAAAGGGTGCTATCTCTGCACACATATGTGATTATTTCCTTAGGTAAGTTCCTAGAAGTGGAATTGCTGTCTCAAAGGGTAAAGCTTTCAAAACATATTACAAATTGCTCACCTGAAAGGTTACCAGTTTTCTGTAGCATCACAGAAGAATGTCTATTGTCCTGCATCATTGCCAACATGGGGTATTATGATTTTTTTCTTTTTTAAATTTTTGTTTATTATTAGCATATTCATTCTTACAAATCATGGTATTTCTTTATGCCCTTTGTATTATGATTTTTTAAAATTTTGGCCATTTTGATAGGTGAAAAATGGTATCTTATTTAATGTGTGTTTCTTTGTTAGTAAAGTTGAACCTTTTTTTTATGTTCATTGGTCTTTGGTGTTTATTTTATACCTGCCAGTTTATACGCTTTGCCTACGTTCTTGTGTTTTTTATTACTGATTTTTAAGACTTCTTTTTATAAGTAAAGACCATTTACTCTCTGATATACAAGGGAAGTATCTTCAGGATGAAATCGAAATATCAAATTGTTCAGGAAGTAGCTTCTTTCAAAACTTGATCCTTGGTTCATTTCTTAGTCGATGTAGACTTTACTAAATAAAGAAAATGGAAAATGTCCCGTTCCTCATCTTTTTCTGAGTAGAATGAAAATATAATTCGTCAGGGTTAGTTTAAAAGTATAATATTTATGCCTTTAAAGGAGCTTTGAGATTGTTTGCTTAATGTTTTCAAGCGTATAGTAGCATAAAGTAAATTGTTACATATTACATATGTTGAAGCTTATGTGGAGGTAAATTTTATCCTTTCTCAGTCTTTTTTTTTTTTAATTCTTGTATCATGTTAAAAAGTACATAAACTACACAAAATGGAGATTCAAGTGTGACATGTTAAGAAGCATCAAGCTTCGGTGAACTATCCTATTGAAAGAAAAAAGTTATTACCTTGTAAAGAATTGAATGCTGTCAAATAATTTTGGTAATTAAAATACAGGTTTTGTGAACTATTTTTTATTTTTTTACAGGAACTCTTGACCCTAGTTCCCCCTACACTATGGTGTCACCAAGTGGTCGAGCAGGGAATTGGCCAGGGTCTCCTCAAGTGTCTGGCCCCTCACCAGCAACACGCATGCCGGGAATGTCACCAGCCAACCCATCACTACATTCTCCAGTTCCAGATGCCTCTCATTCCCCTCGAGCTGGAACAAGTGAGTATCATCACCATTTTTAAGGTTTTTTTTTAGTATAACCAACAAATGACCTTTTTTATTTGAAAGTCACGTCCTACTTGTTGAATGAGGATACTTGGTAACTTAAACTTTTATCCTTTTAATAAATCAGTTAATAGTAGTTAATGTACAAAGTTAGGCAAAGTGTAAGAAAGGGGATACCTTCTCCAGCAGTCTTATATAAGATTGTTACACCACAAGAAGTAACTAATTTAGAATATCAAAGATTTGTAATGAAAGCAAAATAGGAAACAGTGAGACAGTATGCATTTGTAAATTAAATGACATGTTTTCCTTCCCAAAAGGTTCCCAAACAATGCCAACAAACATGCCTCCACCTCGTAAACTACCTCAGCGCTCTTGGGCAGCGTCCATACCTACCATCCTCACTCACAGTGCCTTGAACATTTTACTGCTGCCCTCTCCAACTCCAGGCCTCGTGCCTGGCCTGGCGGGTAGTTACCTTTGTTCACCGCTTGAGAGATTCCTTGGATCAGTCATCATGAGACGACATCTTCAAAGAATTATTCAACAAGAAACGGTATGGGTACCTAGTGACCTTCAAAGTGGTGATTGTCAATGGCTGGATGCTAAGTTGTCCTGCAGAATAGGATCTGAACTAAAGTGACATTCCCTCACTTCCTTTAACCAGCTCGTTAGTATTATGCTTTTCACCGAGCCCTAACATTAAAAATGGATTCCGCTATTTTCTTTTCCGTTCTTACATTAACATATTTCTGCATTTTATAGTTTGCTGTGCTGTGAGTTATGTGGCTAACATGGGCCTGGAGAGAGGTCCCCACAGTACATAGAGTCAGTGCACACAGGATCTGGCCTTGCAGAGAATAGCATATGAGTAACTATTTGCCCTCTGGAGTGCCCTTGCAGACAGGCTGACTTTGAATCTGAGTCTCCATTGAAATAAAATTACTTATGATCACAAGGACAAAAGCTGCTTTTTAAGTATATGAACAATTGAATTTATTTAAAACACTTATAGGAAAAAACTTCTATCCTGTGGTGATTCCCTTAGGAGATAGCTCATAGTCCATAGCACCAGTTCTAGAGTCAATCAGGCTGCCTGGGTTTGTAGCCAGGCGATACCACCTGCTAGTATGTGTTTGAGCAAGTTTCTTTACCTTTCTGATTATAGTAGATAATTGTATCTACCTAACGCATAACAATTGTGGAAATTGGAGATATTTCATGCCCTTAGCATAATTTCTTGGAATTCAATACATATTAGTTATTTATAGTTATTATCAATATATGTATTAATGAGGTAGTCAAAATGGTGAATGTTTAAAATATCTATTCCACGGTTGACACGAAGCCATTTTGCAACCTTTATATATATTCAGATTTGGGGAAAAAATATTTTTAATATAAGTTGAATAAATGAGCATTCAGAATGACAATTATCAGACCTGTGATTTAGCCTCAGCTCTGCCACTCACAATCCAAGTTTTCAGTTCTTTGAACCTCATTTTGCTCAGCTGCATAATCAACATAGTGGGCTAGAACGGGGGTCAGTAAACTATGCCCCCTGGGGCCAAGTCCTTTCTACCACCTGTTTTTGTAAATAAGATTTTATGAGAATGCAGCCACACCCATTCTTATTGCCTATGGCTGCTTTCAGCTACCATGGCATCACGGAGTAGTTGCAACAGAGACCGTATAGCCCATAAAGCCTGAAACTTCTACTGTCTGATCTTTTACTGAAAAAGTTTGTCAACCTCGGGTATAGAATAAGGGCCCAATCCAGATCTAACCTTTTGTGATTGTGGTCCTTACTCTTTTTTTCTAATGTGCCATTTTTAAAAAGCTTATTGTAGAAAATATTTAGCATATACAAAAGTAGAATAGTATAATGAATTTTTATGCTCTCATCACCCACCTCGAACATTTAACTCATACCAATATTGTTTCATCTATAGTTCCTCCCTCCAGATAGTTTAACAACAAATCCCAGGTATTATTTCATCCATAAGAATTTTGCATATATTTCTAAAAGGTATGGACTCTTAATTAAAAAAAAAAAAGTGAACCATACCATTCTCATACCTAAAAAAAGTAATTTCTTTATCATCACATATGTAGTTGATGTCCAGAAGTCATTTGTCCTTTAGAGTTTCTTAGTGTGGATTTTGCTGATTGGTTCTCTTTGGAATCATTTAACATGTTCTTTTGACTGTCATGTTTTCTATCACATTGATCAATCCTCTGGATCAAACTGCTGAATTCAGGTTTAAGTTTTTTGTTGTTTATGCATGAGTACTTCATAGGTAGTGTTAAGTTCTTCCATCAAGAGGCACATAATGGCTGATTGCCTGTCTTTTTGTGACATTGCCAGCAGTTGATGCTCAATGCCCAGGTGCCTTTGTTGGTTTTGGAACTGGTATCAACTTAGTTTTCCTTTTGAAACAGTTCTCTCAGTAACACTTTCAATTTCTCTTTGTCTTACATATTAACTTGATGCATCCTTCTTGTTTTATAGCTGCAGCTGATAAATTCCAATGAACCCGGAGTGATCATGTTCAAGACTGATGCACTGAAATGCAGAGTAGCCCTTAGCCCCAAAACCAACCAAACGCTTCAGCTAAAAGTGACACCTGAAAATGCAGGACAGTGGAAACCTGATGAACTTCAAGTTTTGGAGAAATTCTTTGAAACAAGAGTATGTGTTTAATGCATAAATTTAATATAACTAATGAAAAAGAAGAGTCAAGGTAGAATAAAGAGTAACTTGCTTTATTTATTCCTGTAGGTTGCAGGACCACCATTTAAAGCCAATACGTTAATAGCCTTCACCAAGCTGTTAGGAGCTCCTACACACATCCTCAGGGACTGTGTGCATATTATGAAGCTAGAGCTGGTAAGTTACAGAGAAACACATACTTTTCTAGTAAGGTCTGTTTGAGGAAGTTAGAGTTGGTGGGAGCAATGTTTATTGGTTTTCACCCATTTATGTACTTTCTTCCATTTTTCTCTTAAATTCTTAATTTTTAACTTAAATTTTGTCTTTGTATAGGTAACACAATTCTGTTGTATCTTCTGAATTTAGAACAAGTTGATACAGAAAGAAATTCCCTATCCCTCCCTGTCTAGCTATCCCTGCCCCATCCATCCCTGTCCAGCCATCCTCTGTCCAACCAGGGTTCCAGTGGCCTGCTTTCCTAGAGATGGTCCATTCATAAAAGCAAATACATCTCTCCCATACACTTTTTTAATGAAATATCATTTCTATATCCTATTCTGTACTTTTTCCCATTTTTATTAAATATTCTTATATATGTAAATTTGTAACATATAATTTTATAAAATCTGATTTCCTCACCTTTGTTGGTCCTAGGCTTTGTGTCCCATGAATAGCCGTTAAAACTGAAATGCTAAGTCGCAGACAGCACATGCTCCACAGGCAGTGGCTACTTTCAGAACACTGGGTATCTGCTCTTGGTATATATTTGGCCCTTTTGGGATTTTCCTTATTTTCTGCATGTTTCAGTCTGCATTTGTATTAGTTTTTTAGGACTGCTATAACAAATTACCACAAACTGGGTGGCTTAAAACAATAGGAATTTATTTTTTCACAGTTCTGAAGAAGTCTTAAATCAAGGTGTCAGCAGGCCATGCTCTCTCTGAAGGATCTAGGGGAGAAAATGTTCCATGACTTTCTCTTAGCTTCTGGTGGTGACGGCAGTTCTTGACATTCTTTGGCTTGTACATTTATCACTCCAGTCTCTGTCTCCATCATCACATGGTGTTCTCCTGGTGTGTTCCTCTGCCTGTGTCTCTTCTCTTCTTACAAAGGACAGTGGCCATATTGGATTAGGGCCACCCTAATGACCTCATCGTAACTTGATTAGATCTTCAAAGACCCTGTTTTCAAAAAAGGTCATATTCACAGGTACTGGGAGTGAGGACTTAATATTTTTTTCAGACACACAACTCAACCCATAACAGTATTTAAGAAGATGTCTCGCTACCCCCAAAATTTGTTAGTGTTTGTGGCAGAAATGATTTTGAGGATATCTAGCTTGATATATTGCTTGAAATGGAGGAGCATCTTGCTTTGTTCACTGAAGAAATCTTAGAGATCTTTCCATCTCAGTATATAAGGATCGTCTTTGGTTTTTTTTAAACGAAGCTTAGTATTTCATTATATGAATATATTAAAATGGCTAAGCAGTCCCTTCTTGATGGTCATTTTGGTTGTTTCTAATATTTTGCTGTTACAAGCAGTGCCATGCCATAATAGAGAGCCTTTTTACAGCTGTGCCAGTAGGATAAATTTCTAGAGTGAATTGCTGGGTCAAAGGATATATATTTTTTAAATTTTGGTAGATATTGCCAAATTGCTCTCCATAGACATTATGCCAGTGTATATAGTCCCACCAGCAATTTATGAGAGTACCTGCTTTCCCACATCCTTGTCAAGATTTATCAGTCTTTCTCTTACTGTTTTGTAGGAGCTCTTTGTGTACTAGGGAACTTAGCCCCTTGAGATATTAGTTGTAAATATTTTTTCCTAGTTTGTCATTTGTGTCTTGACTCTACTTTTCGTAGGTAAAACTTTCTTTTTAATAAATAGTGAAATGTGTCAGTATTGGTTTTTAAGCCTTCCTGGTTTGGTATGATTGATAGAAAGACTCTTTCCATTCCCAAATTTTGAAATCATCCTCCCATAGTTTCTTCTAATACTGTTATGGATTCATTTTTTTAATTATTTAAATTTTTGACCCATTTAAAATTTATCTTGGTGTCACGTGAGATATTGGTCCAACTTTTTCAGATGCCCATCTATCAAAAAATCTTCTCTGGGGAGATTTTGAATTCTTCCTTGTGAAAGTATGCAATTATGTAGATGGAATCCAGGTGGCAGCTGATTATATTTTTTTAGTCTTATAGTAGTCCTTTCATTTTAATGTTTCTAGTGTTGATTTGAGTAACTCCAAATACCTCACTCCTTTTTTTAATTGGTGTTTTACTGTTAATATTGGGCAGCAATGTTCTTTTGCTAAGAACATTTGCCTCTGATAGGCTATAGGAAACATTATTTATGTCAAAAAAAAGTCATTTGAGTTTTTAAAGGAGTAAAATGGCTACGAAAGCACCAGTGGATGTGATTTGAAATCATTAACTCAGTTGGAGTAGTTTGTTTAGAGGAGGAGTTGGAAACAGGACTGGGAGGTTTAGGTTGACAACAGTTAACAGCTTTGAATGCCAGGTGTTGGTCCTTGGGGGGTGGGGGGAGCATGTGTCACTGAACATTTGTGAGCTTGATTAGAGCCATGTTCTAGGATATGTGTCTGACAGTGATATAAGGATGGATGGATTGGAAGAGGCAGCCACTAAAAGGGACTGTTAAGGAACCACAGGATAAGTAATGAAGCCCTGAGTTTGGTGTTCTCTGAAGATAGAGAGGAGGGAGTAGGTGTCAGAGACAGTGCAGAAGCTGACCATAGGCCTTGGGAATTAATGAAGCGGGAGGGAAGGAAGGGAAACATACTACATAAATCCAGATTTGACTTTTCAGTTAGTGACTTCATGTATGTATTTCTTTAGAAAAAATGTAGGTTACCCACTTTATGTTCTGTTAATAACTGAGTATAAAATATAATTCTAACCTTTCAGACTCCTATACTGGAATATGATTTTAAATGTTCATATGACTTTATCATGATATCTTTTTTTTCCCAAAAAACAGTTCCCTGACCAGGCAACACAGCTAAAATGGAACGTTCAGTTTTGCCTGACGATCCCTCCCAGTGCACCGCCGATTGCACCTCCTGGGACACCTGCTGTGGTGCTAAAATCCAAAATGCTGTTTTTTGTAAGTACCACTTGGCATCTGTTTGCGTACAGAGCTTCTGAAGAAAAAGCCATGTGAGAATAATAGAGCAGCTTTTAGATAATTGCATAAATTATCTATTGCTGCCAAATATAGGCTCATATCCCTTAACTGTCCATTTGGACTTCATGGGATCCTGGTTCCTTTAGTAATAGCAGAAATTTATTGAACTAGGTAACTGTGAGACATAGTTGTATCTTAATCATAATATTCAGTTGTTTGTCACTTTTCTTGTCATATTTAATTTTCTTTTGCTTACTGTGTTTTAATCTGATGAAAGTATAGTAAATAATGCTTTTGATAAATTTAGACAAATGTTTTATTTTCTTATTATGTTTTTATTCTCTTTGTGTGTGTTGTATGTCTACAGCTTCAGTTAACTCAGAAAACATCAGTCCCTCCCCAAGAACCTGTTAGTATTATAGTTCCAATCATTTATGACATGGCTTCTGGTACAACCCAGCAGGCAGACATTCCCAGACAGCAGAACTCTTCTGTTGCTGCTCCCATGATGGTCAGCAACATTTTGAAGAGGTTTGCAGAGATGAATCCACCACGACAAGGTACATGACCAGTAGACGATATTTTATTGCCTATATGTTATAAAAGTTCTTTTGAGAGACACCCCTTCTCCTATCCTCTTCTCCCTCCTTACTCCCTCCACCCCCAGTCCTAGTAATAGAGCTCTGGTTGCTGTGGCCCTCTTAATGTCTGCCTGTCGCTTTCTTCTTTTCTCACTGGTTCTTCATTTTTGTCATTTCTCTGCTGCCTGAACTTTGTTTTTGTTAGTGATTTACTATTGGGACTGACCCAGTTGCTAATGCTAGAAGCTTGTATTTATAGCACACATTGCCACAGAGCCCTAGGTTAGGATGATAGAATTTTCCATGGCTGTGAATTCCTGCCCTACCATCAATACCTGCCACTCTGTATATCACAAAGTTGAAATGCATGTTGGCTTCTCATATTTCATGGTTCAATCATGAATAGAATAATATCATTAAAAGTTCTGTATCTTCTAAATGTTTTGTGAAGAATAAAAGCTGATACAAATGGCATCACTGCTTTTTGGGCTTCTTATATAAATGTCAGGCGGGTGCAAGTGAACCTTTTCACCAAGTGCACAAGGAAGCTCTCAAACTGAACATTTCCAAGGAAACCAGGATGTTTCCAGAAAGATAAACAAGGTTCCTTCAATACTGGAGTAGCCTACACTTAACATGTAACTCCTGGTAGTACTAAATTTGGGATTACAAAACATAACGTTTAGCAAAGAGAACTTTTCTTCCATTTTGCTCATTTCTTTTTTTTTTTTTTTTTTTCCTTTTTGTCTTTTTTACTGACCGGTAACGGGATCGCAACCCTCGGTGTCGCGCCCGCACCGCGCTCAGCCAGTGAGCGGGAACCGGTCTCCACATGGGATCTGAACCCTCGGCGGGAGCACCGCCGCACTCCCAAACGGCGCACTCTCCAGTGCGCCACTGGGCCGGCCCTGCTGATTTCTAATATTAAAGAAATTTAAATTAAATTTAAATTTTGCTTATTTCTAATATTAAGAAAGTCCTCTAAATCTCTCTGTGTAGAATAGCTTGGTAACAGAATTGTGTTTTTAAATGAGGGAAAGTTGTTCTCTGAAACATTTTTAGGTACCACAGTGTCAAAATTTTACTAGGAATAGCAATTATGAAAGAAATATTTTTAGCTGTTTGTTTCCCTATATTGTATACAAAGGCGAGTTCTCACTTTAGTTTATAAGGAATACACTGGGCAGTAGAGAAGGGTATGATTCTTTTGTTGTAATACTTCTACTTACAATTTTCTGCTTTCATCCTTTGACTTCTCTCTTCTTTCAGCTAAAAATAGGTCCTCAAGAATCAGAGTTTAAAGCTATTAGAATTCTCAAAGTTCTGTCTAATAGAACTTTGATAATAAATACCATTCCTTCACAAGCAGATGACTATCATTACCTTACATATTTTTATGTAATATGTCTTGTGGAATTTAAAATTAAAAGGAAAATGTTTTGATCCTATTAGGATCAAGCAAGTTTGTCTACCTGTCAATAATGAAAATGTGTTTTTAGAAAAAGAAAAAAATTGCTTTTATTTAAGAAATTGTTGAGATATTTTGGAAGTGTTCTCCCCCCCCCCCCCCCCCCCCCCCCCCCCCTTGGGCTGAGAAAACCTTTGGATTTCCTTTTCTTCCTGTACCTTAATTTTCCAGTGGTTGGAGAGAAGGTTGGCAGTAACTTGCACAGGGTTACTGCACATCATACCTTTTGCCGGAAGGCTATGATTCACATGAGGTCCTTGGTTCTACTTTCAGCCACTGTACTGTTAGACCGTGCTCTAGTGGAAGGGATTCAGCTTTTGTTTATAGTATTTATATATTTGTAATATTTACAAGAAGTGAAAGGCGGAGTATTTGGTTTCGTTGAGCAAAGGGGAAACTGAGAGGATGAATCACCAGCCCTCTCCCCCAAATCTTGTTTTTGGATTGTTGGTGCGCCATGCTTCAGCCTCCTTCCCCTCCTCCCACACCCATCACTTCCCCCTCAGTGAAGTGCTTTTTACGAAAAATCACTTTATTTTTGTATTTAATTGTTTTTAAACCCCAGAAGTTGACCATTTCCTTGAAATTTGGGAGAAAACTCTGATAGATCTCATAGACTTGCACTGTCCAATATAGCTGCCACTAGCCACATATGGCTATTTAAGTTTAAATTAATTAAAATTATATAAAAATTTAAGTTCATTTCCTCAGTCACACTAGCTGTATTACAAGTGCTCAGTAGCCACAGCACACATATACAACATTTCCATCATCACAGAAAGTTCTGTTGGACAGCGCTGTCATAGACATTTTTATCTGTCCTTTCATGCAACATTAGAAGGAAACCACCAAAGTTGTAACTAATGCATAAATATAATCTAGATTCTTGTCATTAGCTACAAATGCATAAACAGTCAGTAGCATTAACCTTAAAGCCCAGCTTCAAAGGCTTATCCAATGCTACAGTGTTTCTATACAGAAAGTCTAGGCATGCCTTCTTAAATTCAAACCTAACTGGGACTTGCCCAAAATTTCTTCCCAAGGAAAAATCAAAACCTAAACCAAATCTGGGCAGTTAAAATTTAGTCTTTTATTTTGATCTTTAAAGTTCTTACTAATTTTAGGTTTAATTACCCCTTCCCCCACCGGTGTGTTAACATCATCTTTCCTGTATTGCGAATAGCTAATGACCATTTTTCTCTGTTGCAGGTGAATGCACAATATTTGCAGCTGTTCGTGATTTAATGGCTAATCTTACACTGCCCCCTGGTGGGCGTCCATAAACACTATTGTTTTTAAACCAGGAAGGCTGACAAATGAGACAAAACAACAAAAAAAAAAATATGAATTCAGCCTTCAGTTTAAAAAAGAAAAAAGGACTCTTTTTGCTTTAAGACTTAAATATTCTAAACTGGCAAAAATTTTCAGGGTGCACTTCTTTCATCAAAAAGACCATCAATCTTTTGTATAGTGAACTTGTATAGTGTGTTTAAATGGGACACATTTCAAACTAGGTAATACATCAGTGTCCGCTTGCCAGTAATAGATTTAATATTGTTTTATACTATAAAGTTATGAAATTGCCAAACTTGTTTATTTAATTGTTTTCCTATGTTTTGGGTGTAATAGTCCTTTTTTGGTTTTTGGTTTTTGTTTTGTTTTTTAAGGCAGGTCTGTCATTTTTGAATACTGTAAAACTGTGGTAAACTTTATATTGAAGCTGTATTTTAATATGACCGCTTTGACTCCTTACATGAAAATGTTCTGGGAGGTGTTATAAACACATCCCAAAGAAGCAATATTTAATAAAACTAGGTTAAAAAACAAACAAACAAACAAAAAAAAAAAAAAACAAAAAAACAGTGACAGTCACTTGTGTGTGTATAAGCTCTATAGACTTCTCAGGGCCTCCCTTCATCTTTAACCTGGTGGGGCCAGTAATTAATTCTAATAGTACATGTCTGAAATTTGACCAAAAACATCTTTGTTTCAAGGTTAATTTATTTTCTTTATTCCTAACTTGATTCGTGGTTAACAATTAGCACCTTGGTTGTCTTTCAGTGTAGGATTTGGGTATAAAAGAAAGAACTTAGTCTTTGAGAAGAGACAGTAAATGGTTCAAATTGATCTATGATCTGTCCCAAATAATGCAAATGTTGTCATCTGTTGAGGATGTGGGAACTTTTCTATTAGGTGAATTTAGTTTACAGGATATTTCTGCATACAGCATTAATTAGGAATCAAAGAACTTTCATGCTGTACTCTTGCATGAAGTTTCTGTGATGTTTCTTTATCTTGCTTAACTTCTCCTCTTTGCTTTCCCCCCCAAAATTAGGGTGGTTCTAAAGAATCTCGATTTAATTCATTATCAACAAAATGATAGAATGTTTTGCTTGGAAGAAACCTGATCCAGTCCCCTCATTTTGAAGAATCCAAGATCCAAGGCCTGTCCAGGGTCATATGGAGTTTCTGATACTGACACATCTCAGCAGGGTTTCTTTTTGGAGCACTATGCTGTCTCTCCCAGTCAGTCAGGGACTTCTTAGGCTTCGAAGAACATGATCTGAAGCAAAGGTCTTCTGGTGACTTGATGTTATTTGGAAAAGTTTTTAAAATAATAATACCTGATCACTGTAATACTGGTTCTCCATTAAATTTTAATGCTTTGTTTAATTCTACTTTAAGATGATTTAATTGAGCTTCTATAACTATCAACTATCAATCTAGTTTCAAGCATCTCACTACAACTATATCATATCTGTTCTCAACTTTGCTTGATTCTCCATTCATTTCTGGTCAGAGTTGAGACCTTCCTTGCCTTTCTTCTATGTCTTATTTCTGCCTTCATCTCCTTTTCACCCAATTCTGCCACTATTCAGGAGCAGATGACTAAACTTTTGTCCTTCCTTTAACTTACATTTTTATCTTTCTGTTTTCAGTTCAGTTCTTATAATGGTAATCAGTTTGGCAGTCTAAGATGTCTTTATGAAGGGTCACCCTTTCTCTATTTGGAGCTGAATCCTTTCTTGTAGAAATCTACATGTACATACAAGAAATGTATTTTTATCTGCAGGATAACATTGCTCCAAATAATTTTATTAATAGAGTTAACTTTTCAGGTATTTCCCCTTTTAACTGTGGTTTTAAAATGTTAATTGCATTTTTATACACAATGCATTCAATGGACACTTTTTCCTAATTGTAACTCATTTGTGAATGCACTGTGCAATCAAAAGTAAGATAGGATTCAGTAAGTAGAATTTGCTTTTGATGCTTATTAAGAGTAAACCCATGAATTTGAATTTTGATATCATGCTTGGTGCTTGGAATTGGTATATACCTTATTAAAGCTTGAAAACATTTAGCATTTGAATCTTAAGTTTCATCACAAAACATGTCTTTTGCCTCTTTTGTTACCCAGGTTCAATCAAGGGGACTGGATGCCCATAGTGATTTTCCCTAATAGGTGGTTGGGACTTAACTAAAGTGTTTTCAGTGTGATTTTAGTATTTATGGTAATAAATAAAATTTATATAAGTTTCAGAGAACTACCAACTCTCTAGTTAATTTTGGTTAAGATGTTTTGGATAGTAGTCTGGTTTAGTATTAGTTTAACCTTGAAAGAAGAAATTGGTTCTGATTTGACACCTTCTTGTTTCCATCTGCTGGAATGCCATTTCAGAATGTATAGAAGTACTTTCACAATATCAGAGGGGAAAAGTGAAAACTTCAACAGGACATAGCAAGTTATTAATAACAGGGGGTGAGCCTTATGTTTGAAAATTAACTCGGAGTGAGCTAAGTGCAATCATAAACTAAAATATACATGATTTTGAATTTAAATATTACTGATAACTTTACTTTGTTGCACTTAATACAGTAACCTGTTCAGCCACAGGATACTAGGTCATTCTTTGGACCATGATAAATTTGATAACTTCAAGAAGTTGAATTTGCTTCTCTGAGTTCTGATCCAATGTCAACCTAAAAAGTTATTCCTTTCTTTAATGGTTTTTTCCCCAAAAGAAATACCTATTATGTTTTACTTTAATATTTACTTATCCAAGTGTTCTTGATATGAAATCAATATACAAAAATTTAAAGAGAACTACATTCAAGGGACAGAAAGGAAAAATGTTAATGTATATTTCATTGTTTCTTGTGGAATTTTCTTTTTAATTTGGTTTGATGGGAATGAACAGTGGCCAGTAGTTTGTTAAAATACCTTGCCCAGGAATATGAGTGGTTGATCAAAGGGCATATTTAGATCAATACAAAATAATAGCTAATATTTACTGAGAGCTTAATATGTACCAGGCACTGTTCTAAGTATTTCAGTGTGTTTTTAATCCTCACAGCAACACTGTAGGTACTAATATCCTTTTACACACGAGTAAATGGGGGCCCAGAGAAATGAAGTAACTTGCATGAGATCAAATTAAGATTGTTTACGATCAAGCCACTAAGAAGGGACAGTTTGAGTCCAGAGCTAGTTCTCCTAAACAGTGTGCCTTTTTGCTGTGAACCATGCAGTCAGGGGAAGGCTTCAGTGTTGGGACATTTCCCTCAGCCTTTTTGACTACACATGATTTTGACGTGTTTTCCAAGCTCAGGAAGCCTACTAAAAGCACCTAAAACTGACACGACCTTTTGCCACTTGGAATTGATAATCCAATGCCTTCTGATCTCTGTGGCATTTATTTGGAACTTAAATCAGACTGCCTTGTGCAAGAAGCACTAATCACATAACCAAGAGTACTAGGTAATCATCGTCCAACTTTTGTTCGATGCTTTAGGATGCTCTTATCTGGCTCGGGGTTGTGCATCTTTCCGGAATCCAGATGATGCGTTGCCCTCTTTTCCTCCGCTAGGTGGTCCAGTGGCGGAGAGGCTTTTGAGCTTTGTGTCAGCTTGGCACACCGCTGGTGCATAATAGGTGCACAGTACAGGCAGCCAGCGGTCACGTTTCACTAATGCCTCTATTTGCTACAGCTAATCTGTGGGTTTAGGAACCAGCTAACTATAGAATTATATAATGCAAGGAACATTATGTAATTGAAGGGAATGTGCTTTTGAGCACCGTCTACGTCTCTATAATAAAGTTTTAAACAGAGGAACCCCTACATCAGGAGAGGAATTCGAATCCGGGGCTGACAGGGTCTCTCAGTTGGGACAGAGAAGAGGGCCTAAGCGTTTCGGGTAGAGGCTGCCTTAGCAAGCACTGAAGTACTTAAACGTCAGCTGTCACCTAAGCGGGGTGTGGCCGACGTGTGCCGGAAGTCAAAACGTCCCGCTCCAGGATCGATAGCACAGCGCGGCAGGGCGCGCTCTGCCGCTCCCGCCCTTCAAGTTCTGGTGGCCTCTGGGTGGGGTCGTCCCCGGCGGCTCCCGCGCCTGCGCAGTACCATCCGCCCCTCCCCTGGCCCCGCGGCCTCACTGCCTGAGCGGGACATGGTGCTGTCCGAGCTGGCCGCGCGCCTCAACTGCGCCGAGTACAAAAACTGGGTGAAGGCGGGCCACTGCCTGCTGCTGCTGCGCAGCTATTGGTATATACCTTATTAAAGCTTGAAAACATTTAGCATTTGAATCTTAAGTTTCATCACAAAACATGTCTTTTGCCTCTTTTGTTACA